ACTTGCGTTAAATTACATTCACGATGAATTTCGTACTTGATCGGCGCTGATTCCATAAAGAATGCATAATTTCTATTACCGCGTTTAACTCGTTCAACACCTACAAAATTCAATTCTCAATTTATTTCTCATTTTTTTTGGATATTTGGCATCAAACCTTCTTCGTTGTTATTTACAAACACGCTTGGATCAGCTTTTTCCATGACCGACCACATTTTTTGATACATGGAAAAATTTGAGTTCTAAAATAAAATATTGTTCATGAATATGTTTTGGACGATAAAGAACATATTAAAAGTTGCTATCATTTTGCAAACCAGTTAATTTGGTTTGAAAACAAACCTTAAAAAATGCTTCTGTGCTGCCACCTCTTTGTAATCCGTATCGGATCTTATTTTGTACAGAAAGATCTTCAACGCCACTAATACTTTCTTCCATTCGTTCCTTGGTCAAGAAAGCGGCAAGATTTGCCGTATATGAAGAAATGACGATGAGAGCAAAGAACCACCAAACAGCAGCAGCCAATCGAGTAGGAACACCCCTGAAATTTACCATAAATGAGTAATGACAACAAAAAAAGTCAATGCAAATATGTCATACTTGGGAAGAATATCACATCCTTGTTGCATAATAGAACCGACAGTCAGCCATATGCAATTATGCATGTTCCAAATATTTTCCAATTCTTCGGGGTTTTCATCACATGGATGTGGATTTTCCCAATCTAGAAATAAATTGCACAATATATATAGGTAGGGAAATATGTCGCAACTTATACAACATCTTACCGTTTGCGGCCATCCTATGGAATAATTAAAAAAACAATAAATAGTAAAAAATAATTACAAATAGCAAAGAGAACTCACTTTGCCAGTAGATATTCTATAATCGAAATACACAAAAAAGCTGTAGCCACATGTAGCCAAACATGCGTCGAAAGAGGGTCCATGAACGCGAAATATCCGGCTTTTTCTTTGAATGGCTTTGCATATAAAATGCTGATACCTGTGACGTAAAAGCGTATTAGAGCTATTCTCATAATCATTGAATGATGTAGTCTTTTTCTTTACCCAGTGTCATGAATGGCGTGCTAAAATCCAATACACTTTTGCGAGCTTGAGTAACGGTTATATCTCCAATTGCCAAGTCAGCTCTCTTGTCAATAATTTCCTAATACAAATTTTAAAAAAATATTATAAATTATCTTCGAAATAATATTTTTTTCTAACTTAATCCATAATAATTGAAATTACTAAACCAATTATTACCTTAACGATTCCAGTCCATTGTCCGGTGTTTTCGTCGATTTTACCATTTTCAATTTCCCTAACCGAAACTCTGTATCGAAATTTACATTCAATTGCAAGGTTTTTTATGAGATCCTGCATTTAGGCAAATAAATAATTACTTTAATAATAATTACTTTATGATTTTGAATGTCTTACCATCGCAAAACCTTCGTACAAATCGATTTCAGTAACATTTGGACCCAAAGTCACACCTTCTCTGAAATTGAATAATAGCACATATCACAATTTTTAAAACCCAAATCAACTTCTTTAAGGCACAACGGCAATTTGAAAGCCGTTACCGAAAAGCAGGAAACAGAATATGATCGTTAAATTACTTTTTCCGCACAAATGGCATGCCATCACGAATAATAACGTCAAATATTTTGGCTTGCATCGATAACGTCGTTTGTTCTTCAACAGTTGAAAAATTACGCAACAATGATATTCCGTATCTTGAGTCGTAAACGGCAACTTTCTTGAAGTTATTATAATTGTCACCGGACTCATTGCGAGATAGTTGAAGCACCTCAATATAAAACAAATCTCGTTGTCCGTCTTCATTGAAACGAATTTCCTCGGTTAATCCTCGAACGGTATTCTGAAAATCAGAAAAACACATTCACAGTTTGTTCATTTTGAAACATAAAAAAATGAATCACAATACTTCATCGACTTTGTTGAGAATATCTCTGCCGCTGTCATTGTCGAATTGATTTTCATCGTAAGTGGCGTAACAAGAAGTTGGACTCATATTAAATTGTTCGATAAATGTTCTATTGTCGCCAAAAGCCTCCGAGAACACCGTCACAGCGTCTTGCATCAAAGCAGTTTCTGTCTGAAATACGAGTTGCTCAAATTAATAGCCCTTTTTCATTCAACAATAGTTTACTTACTGTCATTGAATACGGATTGAACATTGGTTTGTAATTGCGATTTCGCACGAAATATGGTTTGATTTCATATTCGTAAATGTCAGCATTCGTTGGATTTATGAAACGAATTGTTGTGATGTTTGCGCTCACATCGGGCAATGGCATCAAATCAAGCAAATATCCATCAATACCCGTAATAAAATAACTCTGAAAAGAGACGTTTTGACTCATTTGAATGATCTGTGTAAAAGTTAAAGTTTCCAATAAAACTAACCACATATTCACTCATCATTCCAACTTTGGAACTTTGTTTTAGAATGGAATAAGTGTGTTCCATTGTGCATTCGATTATAATTCGATTGTGGCCTGATTTTGATATGGATTTGAGCAAAGGCTCATAGTTGTCCGAATCGGTGGGCAATTTATAAACGGCTATGGATGGATCACCAGTAGTATCCAATCTTGCAATGTCATTGAATGTATCTTGAAATTTTTCCAAACTTCCTTCCGAATCGTAAATGATCGCAAATTTCGTCCATCGCAAGCTTTTCACAATTTCCATCATGGCTTCGGAAAACTTCTTCGCATGTGGAAATAAGTTTCGAGTATAGGAATTGGTTCTGTTAAAATTGTCGATCTCAATTGGCTGAAAAAAGGCTGTGAAATGTGGAATCCGAAGTTTCTTACAAATCGATGCCACAAGACCTAAAATTGAAAGTGAAAGAAAAACTTTTACAATCAAAAAAGGTTGAAATATTTATCATAATTTACCTGAAGTCTTCAGAGAATTTGGACCAAAAATTGCTGCAACATTTTGGTCAGCCATGTCACAAACTATAAAAAAATGATAAATACAAGATGAATAGCCTTTTTTATATTTGAATACTGCTGATTGTGATAAATCATACAAAATATTCTCAAAAGTTCCTATTCTTTCACAGCCATACTATCTATAAATAACAAAAATACAAACCAGCCTTTTGCACTTGAATACTATCGTTTATATCGACAGTGCTAATAATTGTTTCCAATTTGACCGTCTCACTAAATGTATTTTTCGTTTTAGCTATATTTGCGAAGGATTCCACCAATTCATTGTTGTTTTTCGGGAAAATGCCGCCTAGTGAGAAAAGAGAGAAGAATAGTATATTTTAAAATGTTGTTTTGATTGTGACACAAATGTATTTCCCATTGGTGACTCTTTTTGAAAGATAATGAATTAGCAAAATGACTAAAACGGACACGAGTTTATTAAATACACAAAGTCACAGAGGTTTATTTTTAGTAAATGGTGTCGGCTTTCAAGTCGAATTCCAAATTTTGCAGTAACGATGATATTTCTTCACACTTGATGATTCTGCGCACTTGATACATTTGTCACTGGTTTGGCTAAAATTTGGATTTTTCGTATGAGAATTTTCATCATTTTATGCCATTTTTTTCTGAATTTTCAGGTTTAGTTTTTAGTTATAAACACTGCATTTTACGAACTAACTTTGAGATGCGTAAATTTGTGGCCACGTTTCAGATACAAATAGCGTACACGTGTCACTTTTTCACTTCATAGAAAAAAAAATCGCATATAAACTTACCTATATTAATGTATTTATATTGTTGCGTTGATGCAATCTCAAAAATGTGCAGAACACTTATTGCGAATATCAATGAAAACCTCATTTCTGATCGATTTTCAAATTATTTTCACCGATGAAAATGTGTTATGTAAAATGGAGCACAGCCTTTACCCGTTTGATGTCAGCAACTGACTGACAGTGATCACTGAAAATAACTTCAATTTTAAATCGCTTATTCCAACGGAGAGCATACGCACGTCTTATTGGAAAGATGTTTGAATTTTCAGGATCACAACGAAAATACGAACGGAGAGTATGCTCGGAAACATCTGTGCATTTGTTGTCGTATCTCTTAACCGCGTATAAATACGATGAAGTCAGTAATACAAAATATCAACATTGCAAAACCACCTGTTTCGTCTCTCATTTGATTTATTTATACGCTATTTCTACAATCAAAATGTGAGTGTGCAAAAATAAACTTAGAAACTGAGAGCTGTAAAAAATTTAGTGTGAAAACGTGAAGCTTGAAAATACACATCTTTGGCCACTTTTGGATAGCGTTCCGTTTGAAGCGATATTTTATTTAAAACGGAGCAGAATATATAATTAAGTAACATTTAAATAAAAAAAAATAATGATGATAAAATCTTCACGAGTTAATGTCATATGAATGTGATTAATTTTTAAAAATCATCCAATATTTCAATTAATTCCATTCAATCCTGTTCGTTTAATATTTCGAATCGAATCCATTTGGATGTCATTCGATATACTTGACCGAACCGAACTTCCAGCACTTGACACACGTGCCACTGGTTTGCGAACTTTCCACACAGAAACTGCGAACTTTAACTCCTTTTTGAAGGCTTCATAGGGTGTTATCTGAAAAGAACAAAATGAAAATTCATCACAGCTATAGAAGACTGCTTTGGAGCCCATTACCCTTTCATCGATTGATGTTCGCCGAACAGACCAAATAAACTCGAGAATTCCAATGAAAATTGACAACAGTAAGCCAACAGCCAAAACCAAAAATACACCACCCAAATTCTCCATGTCCAGTTCAGGAGTGTCGCTTCGTTCTTTGTCGCCGGCTTCACAATCAACATCTTTACTCTCCCACCAATTATCGATTAATTCTATGAAAAAACCAACATAAATCGGTTAATAAACTAAAATGTAAGCCCTTATTAATTATTTTACCCTGAATCTTTCCCGACTCTTGTAGGCGCAAAAGTGCCTTACTAATTGGCGTTCTATATGGAGAATCTTGAGAAAAGAACATTCAATAAAATACCAAAAATAATAATCAAAATAATAAAGTAATGT